TAGGCAGAGTTACCTTCTCTCTGCTTCCAGGCACATCTCCTTCTATAATATGGCTTAGCATGAAACAAAACTGGGTAAAGTGGAACAAGATACTGTAAATATCAACAGGAGGCTTTATCTATGGCTCTTACAAAGTGAAAGTGATAGATAAGTATTTCAATAAGGAACTGAGATCTGGAAACTTGGGTGATAATATGTGAAAAGAAAATTTAGCTTTTATCAATTAAATCAAAAATAGCAGAGCAATACAACTAATTTTTAATTTTTTGCATCATCCCATTTTGGAACACAGAGCGGGAAATGAATATGTCTCCTTTGTTGATCTGGGGTCTCCTCTAAGTGAGCTTTTATTCTAAAAGAATTTGGTCTTCAAATGAGTATTAATCAGTTGTTGGCAATTTTCCTCAGCCACCCATACCAGAGAGGCTGTTCTGGATGCACATTTTCTAGTCTTAGCATCAAACCTTGGAAGTCAACAGGCTCAGCAGTTGCAAACACACTTGGTAACATTTGATGCAGATGTTTTTGTTGAGAAATTGGTAAGTTATAAATAAATTAAAGTTCATTTCCACATTGGGTTGGAAGAATCATTGTTGTTCATGTCTTTTATGTAACTTTTTCCCATTTGAAAATAAACATCCCCTCTTTAAAATATATTAAAGTTCACAAGGTAACCAGGTGGACAATCAGACTTGGTTTGATGTTACTCTGGTTTACAGATTTAATGAATGTAACCAAAGAAGTTACAATTCACAGACCCAACATTTCGACAATATAAATTCAGCTTTATCAGAGCATGCATGCCTAACGAACCATAAAATTGGGTGGGACAAGTCTAAGAATTCTCACCACTAATCGGCATTACCACCAGTGCCTTTGTTTGGAAGCTTGGCATATTAACTCCGCCCACGCTCCTTTAGATTGTGATGATGGCGTCTTACTTCCTGATGCCTATTTACACCTTGTTAGAAAAAAAGGCAGCCAATTAGTGATCATATAAAAGGATCTCTTGTTTCAGTGTTTAGATCACCCCTGATGAAGGCACTAGACAGGAGTGTTGAAACGTTGGGTCTATGAATTATAACTTCTTCAGTTACATTCATTAAATCTGTAAACCAGAGTAGCATCAAACCATGTCTGGTACCCTTCTTTGTTGAATGTTGTTAGTAATACACTTGGAAGTAATCAAACTCTGTGTTTGACTTTGTCTTGTTCGTCTTCACACCCAAATCCTCCTTAGTTCCATTCTAACTTACTGCTGCAGCCACAGCTAGGAAATAATTATCTTAAATTTGCCTGAAAATGTTATTTGATTGCTGTTTTAGAATTATTTTCTTGATCTTTTCTTTTTAACCGAGAAAGTTGTTAATCACTTTCAAAACATCCATACATTGTACCGCTGTCAGTAACTTTTTTAGGGGATTTGTCAGTCAATGCATTGGTGTCATGTTGGTTCAAAGGTTATTATTTTGTCAGGCAGTGGGTAATGGTTGCTTTCAGACAGTTATGCTTTATTCTTATCAGCCTGTAAACTTGAAAGAGATCTCATTTACTTATTTCTCACAGTTTTTTATGTCAACTCTCAGTCCTCAATTCCTTGTTTTCATAGAACCTTTACAGTGATTAGTCCATCCTCTGCCATGAAGTAAAAAATTAAAAAAAAAAAAAGCCAAAAAGTTATAAATTTTATCCTTTTTATCAGATAACTTTTATGGGAGGGAGAAGTGTTTCCGATATGACTGGAGGAGATAATGAGGATGAAGAGATGGCTGGTGGGAGGCACCAACCCCCACCTCACCTTGACTGGAAGAAACTTGGTAGAAAAGCCAGTGTAGCGTTTAGGAGAACTCCAAATGTTGACTTTATGTATGTTCAGCCTTGCAATGATACCATTTGATTCTGAATTATTCTGACTTCTCTTTCAGTTGAGATAGGTATACACTGTTATAAATTCAAGAGACTGACTCAGTGTTTGATCTCATTTTCAAACACTTAATTAAATGAATTAAAAATGTAGCACACATAGGATTACTTTAAGAGAGTTTCAGAGAAATAATGTGATTCAAGACTGAATTCAGTTTTTTTTTTGTGTGTCTTCCTAGTATGTAACAATCTAGGTGTTTTGATAACAGCAAGAGAGAAATTTATTTCCAGTGGGTTTTTAACTCAAAGGTTGCTTGGCAATTAAGATAATTTTGAAATCAGTTTTCATGCAATCCTATCAAGATTCTATGGTTATGTCAAAGATGCACTCACAGCTTTCTTGTGCATGTTGATGTAATGGTGGTCTTTGATGATCATGTTTCATTTCAGGTTTGGTCCATTATCCATGGAACCTCCTGTAAAAGTGCGGAGAGATAGAAATGCTGTGAAAAAAACTGAAAAACCTGATGCTAATCAGTTAGTCAAACCAAAACAGGTAAAACTATTTTTTAGAAAACTTTTCAGTTTTATTGATGTATTTGTTTTACTTAAAGTTACACACAGTTGAAAATGATGACTCTGCTTGCTTCCTTCTGTACCTAGCTAAGTTGTGTTGTCATTATTATCTTATTATTGTTTAAAAATGTATCTGAACTTTGTGTCATGTCATGTTACAGGTATGACATGAGCAACTTGTGCAGACAGTAAAGAGTCAGCAAACAAGTTTTCTAAATTGTGAAATGAGAGTATATAATAAACATTTTAAGAAAATGAACAAGATGATTTGAATGGTAGTGTAATACTTTTTTGCCTACATTCTTGCATTTAATTTTACTGTTCAAATTTCAGGAATGAAAAGTAATAATTCTACAGGAGTACAAAATTTTGATTTTTAACAGTTTAGACTTAAATGTTCTCATTTTGTTCTTTCTATCAGTTGGAGAAGGTAGAAACCAAAGAGGAAGCAACGACTAAAGAAGTAGACAGACTACATAGCATCCTTTATGATAACACAGGTATATAATTATATAAAAATTATGTCTAGCCTTTCTGCAATTATCCTCTTTTGTTGTTAAACAGTTTCTTTAGTAATAATTTAGAGAACTTGGAGTAATTTGAAGAATCCACTCTTAAGCTGATAATTTTGTTTATTTTCATTACCTGTATGCCACAAACAAAGTCCAAATTTTTGTCTCTCTTTATCATCTACAATGAACCTGCATTCACCAGCTGCTGGCAAAAGAGAGCACTTGCATGAGTTGCATAACCCTTTAACTCCCAGATCAAATTTGTAATTCTCCTTACTGTCAACCATACAATTTTTGTAATGTTAGTTCAGAGAATTTAGTATTGGATCAACAAATTATCCCAAAATTAATATTTTTCTTTATAATTTCTCATTACTTATCTGGTTGATATTGTATTGATATTGTAAGGAGAAATTCTGTGTTGGTCACCCATGGGAGTTAAAGGATTAAGAGCAAATTATCAAACTCATTCAACCACCCTTCTTTATTGTGGAAGAGTTGTGATATTTTTAAGTTAAAAAAAAGAATATTTTCACTTGAAAATGGAACTCAAACCTTTTATTAGGCTTTCTGCTTGAAACAGATTCCTCACAAGTGCTTGATTTTGGTGTCCTCTTCTACTCAATGAGAGGTGTCTGCTGAATCGTGGCTCATTTTATAGAGAGGCAAAAGAGTGCACTTTCTATTGGTTAATAGTTGTAATAATACATGCAAGGTGTTGGTAGAACACAGGAAAGTTTTTGTGGACAAACTTTTCAAATGTTCTCCCAACATCCCTAAAGGGTTTTTACCTTAGCCTGGTAAATGGATAGAAAGTGCAGTTGATTACTTATATAAATTAATTCAATTTTCAATGGGTTTACCAGTATAATAAATGATGGGTTTTGACCAAACAGGGAGCTTGTATAGTATCTATTTTTTAAATGGAAAAATATAAGACCTGGCTTGTATCAGTATAATATTCATAATAATATTCAGTCTTCTTAATACTAGTTTCCTGGTCATTTCATTACTAACCAGTTGCTTAATTTCTTGTTTCATAGTTTCTGAGGAAGGTGAAGAGTGTGAATTAACTCCAGTGTCTCTGTTCAACTTTATCATCAACCCTAATTCATTCGGGCAAACAATTGAGAATCTTTTCCACTTGTCTTTTCTAGTTAGGGTAAGTTGTACTTTGAATCTAAAATGTTATTAGCAATTACTCTTACCTAGTGACTGCCAACAGATCTTTTTAGCAGTAATAATTAGATAGTTGAATATGAATACTAATTGGCTGAGAGCTTAAAAAGCATAGTACTCCAAAGTGAGTGTAGATGAGCAATGGCTCAGTCTATAGATAATTTTCTTGAGCATGAATAGATCTGTAACTGTTTAATCATCCTTGCTAATCATGTCTTGTATCTCACATACTTGATTTCAAGTCTATTTTCATGCCTCTAGGATGGTCGAGCAGACATAAGTCTTGACGATCATGGACTACCAGTTGTATGTAAGTGTTCATGTACATGTTTTTATAAAATATTTCAGGTAGTACGTGCACCCTTATGGGTTGGGTCTGCTAACAAGGTTGTGACATCTTGCTTTCTGGGTTGCCAGAATTATTTTTGAGAATTATTTACAAAAGGAACTGAGGACTTTTTCCACATTTACACAACCTCATCTAATCACTGGGGGGTTGTCGCAACATGGTAGTCATATTTAATTACACTGTAATCTGGTAGAAATGGTTTTGTTTTCTTTGTTTGTTTTATTTTATTTATATTTACATTTCCTCATTTGAATTGGTAGCATACTCAGAAATGCCTGGTGAAGATGAACAGATGGGAAAGCAGCAAGTTGTTGTTCATCTCACTTTGAAAGAGTATAAGGTGAATCAAATAAAAACATTGGCATGCTATGCATGCAAAAGTTATTATTTTGGATGGGACATTAAGTCACATAACTGATGTTTACCTTTTTGTAAAAGAAAAAGATTCCATTTTCTTTCAAAAGATTCCAAAGAAGTATCATTCAGTGGTGAGCAAAAAAAAACCTTCCAATTTATCCAAAATAAAATCAGGCACTTGAATTTCATGGTCTATTATCACTGGTGTCTGAATAATTGTTAGCAAACTGAAAATGCATTGGTGCCTTGCTTCCTGTAGTCCTGAATCAATGTCAAGGTTTTTTACTTTTAGCATTACTCTGTTATATGATTTGTTCTGTAGGAAATTATTAAAACATTCAACATCACACAGCCAATGATTCCACCACGCCCAAGGATGGACCTGGCCAATGAGGCTGGTCCCAGTAATAATGGAAATGAGAGTGATGATGAAGGAGAAGAGGAATACAGTTAGCTTTTTAAAGTGACTAGTGAATGACAAAGTGGACCAAGGTTCACCTCCAAGAAAAAAGAGTTATCTGCAATTACTGATTAATACTGAACATGAAGACAACATCCTGTTTGTGTTCACATCCTTTTTTACATGAGGAGCTGCAGAACCTATCAATTTGTCAATTTAAAGAGGATTCAGTCTGTATCCTGTTGTAAAGAACTTTGGGTGTGCTAGTTTTTCAGTCTCCCTGTTTGTTGAATAGTTAACAGTGATTATTGTTTAAGAAGCAATCTACAATTACATTGTACATACATAGGAACATTATTTTAGACCAAAGTATACAGATCTCTTTTTTTTTAAATTTAATATGATAATAATGCATGAAAGTAACAATGTTCTTGGTATAATCCTCTTTCATAGAAAAAAAAGTTATTGTAGGCTAAAATTTTTGAAGAGATAAGGCCATCAGCTGCATCTGTCACATATTTCCAAGCTTCTTGTTCTTTTTTTCAAGGGACACCATACAATGCAATGCAGTATTTGTAAATTATTACTTTGTTCACACTGAAAGACTTTGTGGTAAATAAATAGAATGGGATGTGATAACGACTGGGGAACAATAATGACAGCCGCAGAAGATTGAAACTTAAACATAAGAATTCTTATCATATTATATTTATTTTTTCTTTCTTAAAAGGATAGAACACTGAAATCATTGTTTTCTAGTGCTTTCAAGAAATCATTATCTATGAAAGGTAAAGACAAGAGGAACACAGTTTGTTGAAAATGATCTAGATGGACACAAACCATGGCACATAGCTTATTCTCAACCTATCACTCCCAAGATCTAAATTTCAACTCTCCACACTGTTTGCTATAATCTTATCTCAGCCTTAAGAAGTTTTTGTGAGATCAAACTATATCTCCTAGTTGAAATTTTTCTTCCCCCTCACAAGCTTCCTGTTCTTAAAGCATGTTGATATTGTTAAGGAAAATTAGTTGTTACTTGTGGAAGGTTAACTAAGTGCTACAAAAGCGAATAGGGTTGTGGACCTAAGCAGAACTATGTCTCATCAATATCACAAAAAAAACATTAGACTAAGAGAAGTTATGAACTCATAGTGAAATACATCTTAAAATTTCATGCTTATAACAAGTACCTAAATAGCTTTAAAAAATTTTGAAATTAGTATTTGAACTGAATCCCCAAGTTACTCTCTTCAAACATGAAGGGGTGAAAAATGGAGACATTTGCAAGTACACTTGATGCTTGTATTTTGTTCAGAGGTTAGAGTACTTTATAGGAGAATACAATTTGGAGATTCTTGGTAATCTTATATGTAAATTCAGAGTTAGCTTTGAATTTGGATAGGAAATAGTGTAATTTTAAGGTTACATGTAAGTGTATATTTTTATTTAAGGAAGAGTTACAGTTGAAGTCTGCTCCAAAAATTAAATTTAGTTACTAATCTTGTTTATGGTCTTGTTTGGGAAAAAAAAAACTTTTAAGTTTGTGTCAAGTTTATGTGAGAAATCTGATTTTCTTGCTAATATTACGGGCCCTAAGCCATTTCTCCCTTTCCAAGCTCCTGTAAAGCAACACAGAATCCAGCACCTCATGTCACTTCCTAATCTAAATGGAATGGAGTTAACATTATCCTATGAGAGTTTGAGTCATATGATGTGCAACAACAAGCTTTGTTAGCAATAACTTTGTGTTGACTAAATGGGTCATGGAAGAAAAGAGATGCAGACAGTATAACAGATTTGTAGCAAAATGAATAATGAGGAATAATTCTTTCTCTTTTTTTAATTTTCTGGGGAAAAAGCTGAGCCATTTTATTTTCTATCATTCTTTATCCTCCTTGAACCATATGTAACACTAGGGGACTACCACATCACATCAGGATTTGAAGATACACACTAGTACTACCATCACTTGTGTTCTCCTTTTTATTAAATGAATATAAACTACATTGTTTCAAAAAGAACAACTTTCACAAAACACCAGACTCACTGAAAAATAAATGAGAGTTAAGTAGAAAATTCCTTATTTGACAAGTTTCACTCTGTCTTTGTGAACCTTAAATTTAGGATTTTTTGTTATCTTTTTCTCAAATAGAGCTCTTAGTTCATTATCAGAAAGATTTCTTGTATTAGCTCCTCTTGCTTCAAATTCTGCCAAAACCTGTGGTAAAAAGAAAATTATAAAAGGATTAACACAGTCTATAAATCATAATTTCCCTGTGATATTACAGCATAGGTCAAGTAAAATAAACAATCGCAATTATCAAGGATAAATACTACAATTTCATTTATCTCATCCAGACTGCATTATTGATGATTTGAAATGGCTAAGGTTCCTTGTACCAATAACGTTACTTTGCAACACTGAACGACACTGAGAAAATTTTGTTTTAAGACTTATGGCCCCATTTCCTCGCAAATTGTTACCTATGTTTCCTATGAAATAATTACAAAAGAGAATCATCCATCCCATAAGAGTTTAAGACACATTATTATTATTATCATTATTACTATTATTATTTCTATCATCATCATCATCATCATCATTATTACTGATAACTGTGCAATGTTTAAAAATACATAATTTTTACCTTTTTCCTTAATCTTTTGATTGGTAATTCTTGATCAGGAGCTTGCCTCAAGACTGCCTTAATTGTAGATTTCCAATTAAATTGATCTGCATGACATAAAAATTGTTGCTTTTACTTTGAGTTTAGCTACAATAAAACCCCACTTATGAAAAATTGTTAACTCAAACCCCCTGGTAACTTGAACAAGATCTGATTTCCCTTGACTCCATTTTTTCAGTCATTTGCTATCAGCCATCTCCACCCCCCAATAACTGAAACCATTTTTTGGTTCCATTGGGAGTTTGAGTTAACGGGGTTCTACTTTTATCACAAACATTCATAACTGAAAAAATATAAAATAATAGAGTGTCCCTAAAGATGGCATGTGCAGTTTGAATAGTGCTTAGAGTTAGTTTTGTATAAATGGAGGCACAAGGTGATTGCGGGTACTAATTGGGGTATCTACTGAATATTAACAACCTTTCTCTGATTTCGTCTCACTCAAACCTGCTCAGAATTTTAACTTGTTTGTAATCATCCTCTACGAGGTGATCATCGGTGTCCTAAGTTAAGTCATCATTGCAGAAGTGAGAACTACAAAGTTTACAAGAAGTGGGTTGGTAGTGAAATAATAGAGGAAAATTTAATGAGACAAAGATGTAGCAACAGAACCCCCAGTAGTCACTCACTTTTATCACCATTTATTCCTTCACTTTCCATTTTTAATATCTTGGATTGTTGAGGTTCACCTATGTAAACATTTTATGTAAAAATATCAAATTAGGAAAGCATTCAGTTTTAACATCATTCAATTGTTGGTAATAAATACCATAGTGCTGGCATCATGGGTGTGCAAGATGAGGCAAATTCTGTATTCTGATAGGCTTCAAAAGTGGCATGGATGGGTTCATGTTGTGTGTTAATACTAACTGAGAGTGCGCTCTTTGATTCAACAGACAAAACTCATTTCTATGTAGCAAGAGATGAATTTGAAAACCAAATCTACTCACCTGATGAACAGTTTTCTGTTGTTATTATTAGTCATTACAAGTTACTGATACACATTTTAAGTGGATTTACTGTACACAATATTAACATACATTGCAATTGTACTGGAAGATCACACCCTCTGGTAAATGTTGCATTTTTTCATCAGTGAAGAAGTTAAAACTCTCATTTGCCAGTCATCTTGCTAAACCACTTTGCTCGTTCATTCACTTCAATTGTTTAATGCCACAACAAATTTAGGGTACTGATAACCAATAACTCTTACTGATTTCTGCTCAGAGGTGTAACTTTTTCTTAATCACCTGGAGGTTTCATAAGGTGTCCTAAGTTAAGTCATCATCGCAGAAGCAAGAGTGAAATGGATACCATGGCATGCAGACACATAATTTTTATTTTAAAAAATCATGCAAAAGCTATATGTATCAAGCAGTGACCTTACTCCACACTTCTACCCACCAACCCCTCCCCTAAGTTCTATGCTTCTATCATTTGGTATTGGTGAAAGACATTTCATGGCTTAACCCTTTACCTCCCAGATCAAATTTTTATTCTCCTTAATGTCAACCATACAGTTCTCATAATGTTAGTTCAGAGAATTAAGTATTGGATCAACTAATTATCCCCAAATTGATATTCTTCTTTATTCTCATCACTTATCTGGTTGTAGGGTGAAATTCTCTTATGGTCACTTATGGGAGTTAAAGAGTTAAAAGCAGAGCAATTAAATTAATCAAAATCAGACAATTGGAAATCAGAGAAACATGACCTTTTACACCTTGAAATAGACTACACTTGTTAAGTCATCCACTTTTTGATAGATTTCTGCAGGAAAAAATATCATTCACATATTGATTGGCTCCACCTTACACGTATGTTACTTCAGTGTGCTGTAAGGTCACTGCTCTGATGGCTTGGTTCTACAGTAATGGACATAAGAAAATGAAGTCTGAGGAGCTTCATTTCAGAGACTCACCTTTACCATCTTCCTCTTCATTTCTTTTTCTTTTTCTTTTCTGTTCATTTTCAGTATCAACAAGTTTATCTAACTCTTCTGCATTCCCATGTGAGTCGCTTTTGTATTTCTTTTCCTTTATTCTCTGCTCACTTTCAAAAGAGTCAATGTCTTTAAATTTTTTCCTTTCCTTGTGTTTTTTAGTCTTTTTATCTCTCCTATCTTTTGAGTTCTGTTCAACATTGCCGTCATCAACTTCGTGATTCTTTTCTTTTACTGTGTGTTTTGTAGAATCTCCATTGCATTGGTCTTCAGCATTACTTTGAAAAGATGATCCATTGCTTTTTTCATGGTCAACAACACCATTGCTGCTAGTCACACCCTGTTCTTGTGAATTCTGGTAAATGAAATACAAAAAGCCAAGATGGCTCTTGTTTCACTAACTGCTGCAGTAATAATGACTCTGAATGCTTTGACCCACAAAACTTTACAAGTAAATCACAGATGCTGTAAGTTTAACTTTTTAGATAAAACATTTCAAACAAATAGTCTTAAGCAATATTGCACACCAGCTGAATCTTATTTCAGGCCCATTTTCAGACAGTTACAATGAACATGTGAAAACAGTTGGAAAACACCCTCCCATTGTATATCCATTAGTCCTTTCACTCCCTAAATCTCATTAGTACTTCTCCTCACTGTCTTCTATACAATTATTAGTATGTTAGTTTGTAGAATTTGATATTGGATCTCCTACGAATCCCCTAATTGGTATTTTTCTTCATTCCAATCACTTATCTGCCTGATATTGTACTGGTATTGCAGGGAAAAATTATATCTTTATTACTCATGGGAATAAAAGGGTTAAAAAGAGAAGGTAAGTGGCACCTAATAGTCTTATTACTTATCCTTGATGAGATAGGAGTCCATTGAAGGTTATCCCTCTACATTGAAACAGGATTTCCTGAGAGTTTGCCTATACTCATTTAACCCTTTAAAACCCTAAGAGTGACTAGCATCTAACTTCTCCCAACAATATCACTCCTGAATCACACATTAAGGTCACAAGAATAAAGGAAATGATCACCAATGAAAAAAAAGCTTTTGATCATTACACAAATTCTCCTCGTCAACACCTTAGGAAATGTATAAAAAACAGTATGGAGAATATACATACTGATGTTAGGGCATAAAAGGTTAGTGTCTGGTTGGAGAGAGGCACTGTAAAAGTTAAGATCCGTGCTAAGTGCAGACTTCAATGACCCTTGTCTTGACTCAAACACAGACTTTTTTATCACCAGTTATGCATACTAACCATTAAAGATGGTTAGTATTAGTCAATTAAAGAAATGGCTTAACCTATTATTACTCTTGCAACAAAAGTGACTGCATAACCTATTTTGGAATCTCCTTACCTTTGTACTCTCTGAGAAAAGGTTCCACAGCTTGTCCAAAGTTGCATCATCTCGCACACCAATGCTATTCTTGCAGAAATTCTGACAATACAATCAAAAATACACTTAGAGAGAAACTGGACTAGCTCTCTATCATCAACTTGGAAAAATAATGTATAAGAGTCCTTAGCTGGGTCATCACCACATGAAAAAAATTAAGAAAAAAAAAGAGAGAGAAACAACTTTAAGTAATGTTCAGCCTTTCCCCCCATGATAAATAAAACATGCAGTAACAAAAGACAGTGCACAGTTCTGCAAGAACTTTATCCAGTTTCATTTTAAGGAAGTGGCAAGAAGTCTCTTCAGTAGCTCTGTCTATTAGCATTTTGCCAAGGTTTCCTAACAGAGTCAACCTTCTTGTCCAAGAAAAATGATCAGGTTACTTCATCTCCCTTTTCCTCAGTGATAAGCCATGGTCACTAGTTACAAGTTTATTACAAATATATGTATATCTTACTTACTTGGAATTTAACTTTCTTTCTTGGAATATTGGAATATTCACTAATTCTGTCCAGAAGGTTAGACAAACGTGGATCCAACTTTTGGGATCTTGATGCCTCTCTCACTTGCTGATAAAAAGGACAGAAAAAGAAATGTTTCTTTTCATCTCAGATTGTTTAAAAATCAAACTGATGCTTGGAAGTATTCTCCAAAGGAACCATAATTTATGGGGTTACAATTAAACCATAAAACACACTTGAATCCAGTTTTAAATTTGGGAATACAAGTGCAATACTATTATAAAAAAAGTATGATAAAATGAAAAAAATGTTAATCACTTCTTTTAGAATGCAAAAGGGAAATCTGCAGTAAAACTAAAGCAAAAGGAAAACTATCTTCAATTATCAATCTAAAGATTACTTCCCTGTTCAGATACAATAACTTATGCAAAATCATCCTCTTTGAGGTTATCATAGGTGTCCTAAGTTAAGTCATCACCACAGGGATTGTCTAAGTACTGCAAAAAGACATGCTGTACTGCAGCTCTACACCTAAAAAGAATTTTAAGTTCTAGTTCATATATTACAAATTAAAGGCTGTATCTGTCAAGGTTTAAGAATCACAACCCTTAACTGCCCTAATATAAGAATTGATACAAAGCATTGAGTTCTCTGGTTAAAAAGGGTCAAAGTTTAACCCTTGAACTCCCAGATGAGATTTAAATGTAACTTTTCCTTAAATAATAACATACATGAAAAATTGTGTGTGTCTGATTGGCTGAAAATGAGTGCATTTTTCATGTAGCACAAATGCAAATTACAAATAGCTTGTACTATTTTGTCTGTCTTGACTTTCTGTGATCCTTTTTTTATGTAAATTGTATATTAACAAGTAACAATATGATTTCTCATGCAATTTGCTGCCAAAAAAGTTCTTGTAATTTTGTTGTCTTTAAAAAATTTTAAACATGTTTCTTAACATCAAATTGCACTCGAAATCATATTATTACCTATACATATCCGAGCATTATTAGCAAAATAGTAATGAGAACACTCAAACTTATCAGGTAGAACTTGTAATCTTGATCAAAAACCGGATTATCGAGACTGATTTACGAGATGTGTAACAGCCCTAGGGTAGAGTTAAGATGTGCACAATCTAAAATCAAATCTCGGAAGTTAATGGACTGAAGATCCACATTAAGCTTACTTCAATGCTCACGTGTAACTCTAATCATGAGCGACAAAACTTCCACTGGATGGAGTCGCCGTTAGAATTGACTACTGATAATGTGAAAATTGTCATCCTTTTAATCACCTTAAGCCATTCTTGCTGCTTGTGTTCACCTTTATTCTGTCTATCCTTTGGTTTATAGAGCTTTCCTTGATACTTCTCTGCCTCAGTTATACACGATGTATGCGAAGTGTACTCATCACCGTGGAAGTCCCTCCCACAGTCGATGCACGACAGAACTTCGCAATTACGGCAGTCGTTCTGATAGTGTCTTTCTACCTGAGCTTTTCGGACTGTTTGACCACATACATTACATATAAAAGAAACCATTATTACGAAGAATTCTACTTCGGCAGGTTTCACGATCTTCTGGCTTTCCACGTGGAGTTACACTGCTCATGCGCTATGATAGTTTATTCCAGTCGATTCCAATTATGTCAATTATACCACACATTTTCGAGAAACCGTTAGAACCCGCTGTATATCTGCGGGCTTCGAGGACTTACTCGAAAATAGGAAGAAATCGGGGGATTGTGCACTGGCTCCATCGAGCCAAAATAATATCTTTACCACTATCAATTCATGGGGGAAAGGGAAAAATTATCTAAAGAGGACAAACTTACTCTTTCACTACTTTAAAACCAGTTAAATTAATGCTATATCTACTACAGAAATGTGTTCAGCATCTGTTATCGGACGCAACTTCTCTACCAGCCGATATTACTGATACAGAATTTCAAACTGGAATTTAACTAGATGTGGTCTCCAGATGGCTGTTGTACCCCGTGGAGTCATTATTGGAATGTTTTTCTATCTAACATTCGCGATTGCTGGGACAATATGGATATCGATGAAATACTTAAGTGAAAATGGCTGTGATTGTCGTCAATATTTCGAGAGCGCAAGGTTTTCTGCACATGAACACGACTTTCCACACTCAGACGACAATTTTAAAATAGTTGCAGAGAAACAAAAAAGAGCAAACGGAGATTCCGTCCAAAATCCTGCAAAGGGTACGTACAGTCATGGTTTATAATATATTACTTGCAAACTTTATTATCGTCGCGTGGACGTAAAAATCTCGTTAGCGCTCTTGATGACGTGTCGGCATTGATTTGTTTGTTTAACGCTCCGCTTCTTACTATTAAAACAGACAGTTTATTTCTAAAAATTAAATGGACTAATCAAAAATATAATCGTACAAAGGAAAGTAATTAGTAATTACATATGGCAATTTAATTAATAGTGGTGTATATATGGCCTTGAACCATATTTTCCTGGGCTTGTAACATAAAATCAACGGTGAAATATTTAAGGGAAATGCAAGAACTAAATGTTGATCACAGGTCATCAGCAAAGTTATGGCTAAACTTCAGAGTATTTCTCCACTTAGTTGCATCTAAATGAATTGCATCAGAGACTGAATCGTTACATATCTCATTCTTTAAATTAGATTGGCACATGAATTAGCAGGGTGGTCAGCAGTATGAGTGATTTATTAACACATTGATTTGAGTTTAGTCATTGTCTTTCAAAATTGGCAAATACAGGCAATTTGCTCAATATGCTCTGATATGTGGCCTTTGCATGTTACTCAGTAAGATCTTTCATTTCCCCACCACTCAAGAGATAGGTAAGTTTAAGTTAAAGTTTCTTACTATGAACAAGAAACAAACAAAATGATAACCAAAACTTCATTCTATTCCTTTACAGCTAGTCATTCACATGCACTGAAAGTAATATTTTTAATGAAATTTTTGGCTTCACTTCTCCTTTAAAATGGGAAGTAAAATTAATAGATTTGGTCTCAAACATGGTCAGGGTTTGATGACCCAACTTAACTTAACTTAACTTAACTTAACTTAACTTTTCTTGATTGCTTCTTCTAGTTCCATTTAATTTTCTCATCCAATAATACTTCCCTTTGTCAATTTCCAATGTGGCAGTTAAGAGACATTGTGAATTATATATAATGTTCTTTTTAGTTGTCATTCTTATTCCTCTTTCTTCTTAACAAAACTGTAGTTCAATTCTCTTCCATAAGCCATGTCTACACCTTTACCTTCCAAGGCCTTTTTGCCAGTAGAGGGCAATCTTTGTCACTTGAATCCATCTGTCAAAGTACAGTGTAGTATTCCTTAAATACATTTTGTTTCATTTTGTCAGCAAGTATCTCTATTTTTTTCATATGAATTTTATTAAACAAATAATTTGAACTATACTTCCCCTCGGTATTATTCTAACATGTATAAAAAATTTTTTCGTCCTAATTTTCTTTGTTTCAGTAATCTGTTCTCATCCTCTGTTATCAGAGAGCTTAAGTTTCAGAGGATCAGCTTTATGTAGCTTTGCATAATGATTTTAGGAATGGAGTTCCATTCATCTAGGATCTTGATTCAATTTACAACTTTTTTGTGACTCTCCATCTGTACTCTTAGAGCCAGTCTTTAATCTATTTGACATGAAGCAGGTATTCAGGTATTACCTGTTTGTTATCTTCCTTGTAATAGCACCCAAGCTCCCTTACTCCAGGGAAACTTCACAAGATATTGTTTAAAAAGGCTAATGTCTTTATGGTTGGAAATTTCATTTTAGAAAGTATCATTAGAGAAGAGAGACTTCCTGAAAAGGATTGGGGACCACATCAACTTGGACTGGTTGTTCCTTACAGGGACAGATTTGAGGAGCTGCTTGAATTTGTTCCCTATATGCACAAGTATTTAAATGACAAGAAAGTCAGACACAAAATATTTATTGTTAACCAAGTTGATAAGCATAGGTAAGTGGTTGGAATAGAAAATTGTTCACATGAACTAGTATAGTTTGTCCATCTATGTAAACATAGAATAAGTCCTTTTTGCTGGAATACTGTAGTGTATGGTATAGTTCACCAACATGTTAGGCAAGTGCTAGTGAGTGAAACTAAGATATCTGAAGGTCAAAACCTACACTCATGGCAAGTAAGTAACATGTACATCTTTCTCTAATATAATCAATCACTCTGACAAAGGGCTAATGCTCAAAACATCTACCTTTAATCTTTTTAAGGTGGTCAATTTACATTTTCAACTCAGTTGCTAACACTAAATTACCTGCTTCTCTAACATACCTGCTGATCATGCAGATCATTACCTTCAATATGTGACTTTATTTTTGTTTCTTTTCTCACAGATTCAATAGAGCTTCCCTTTTAAATGCTGGATTCTTGGAGGCAAGAGGAAATCATTGTGACTATATAGCTATGCATGATGTGGATCTCCTTCCTCTTAACAAGGACTTATATTATGGATTTCCTGACAGAGGACCTTTTCATGTATCAGCACCCTTCCTACATCCAAAATATCACTATCCAACATTTGTAGGTGGAATTTTAATTATGTCAATTGCCCAGTTTGAAAAGGTGAGTCAAATTTTGTAGGTATGTAAAGAAAAATTTTCTGTATACATGTAGGAATAGAAGAATTCATAGTAATACTACCTGTGGAATCAAATATTGATGCACCTAAGAAAGATGTCAAAGAGTTGCCATAAGCATGTATACCAAAAGAATCTTTCTGTCCCTTTGTGTGTGTCTCAGAATTTTTCTTTGGCTTAGTTAAAGGGCTGATGTTATTCAATATCTATCATCATTGATTTTAACCCTTTTACCCCTAAGATTGACCAGCATCTAATTTCTCCTCATGTTATCACCTGATTATCACACATAAAAGTCAAGATAATAAAGAGAATGATCACCAACTAAAGAAACTTTTGATTTTTAAACAAATTCTCCATGTTAGCACCTTAGAAAATAAAGAAAGAACATTATGGAGAATAACCAAACTGATGTTTGGGTGTAAAGGGTTAAGAGCCTCTGGCCACTTTTGATTCCAAATTCCAGGGTAAAGGCTTCCTCATTCCATGTATTATGAAGACTTTGGAGACAGTCAAAGTAAGGAATTGGGGGCAAATATTATCTCACTCATAATACCTTATTGTGTCATCTGCCATGACACAGATTGTAACAACTGATGAGAAATGCTAAAAACCAGTACAGGAAATGAGTATATATCAATCTCTTGGTTTGGTTTTATTTGAGGGCATAATATTATTATATTATTTGGAGTCAACATTAGGTTGTTTTGCTGCTAAATTTTCATTAAAAACTCCCTCAATTGACAACCATTAAGTTTAAGTTCAGTCCAGACACATTGTTGTTTTGTTTATTTCTAGGTTAATGGGCTCTCCAACAAATTTTGGGGCTGGGGTCGAGAAGATGATGAGCTGTACCAGAGAATGAAAGAAGCTGGCTTAACTGTAAGTCGCAGCAATGTTTTTATCCAAGTACATTGAAACCTTTATTAAGCCACAAAAAACTTCTAGTGTCTCCTGAACACTTTAACTCCCAGAGGTGATTAACATAAAACTTCCCCCTACAATATCCATACATTCTTCAGCAAACAGGTGATGAGAATATTCAAACTTGTCAGGTAGAAGCTACTATATTGATCTAGCACCAAGTTCTCATAACTAATTTAGAAGGAAATGTGTAGCAGCTACAGAGGAGAATTAACAATCAAATCGTGGGAGTTAAAAGGTTAAAGTATCACCCCTGAATAAAACATCTAAGTTGTGAGAATTATAGCGAGAATGATCTCTAACAGTAACAGCTCTTGTTTGTTAATCAAATTCTCCTAATCATGACCACCTCAATGACCACCCTCTCCGCAAAGGTAACCGCCTGCGACGGGCCTCGCCAGACCAACAACTACCGAGGAACAGTGAAACATAATGTGTGTTAAGTCCCTTGAGCTGACAATCCTTGACTGTTTTCATTCCTCTAACGAGAACGTATTACGTATCTGTATATGAAATTCATTCAAGGCTAAAAGTGGACATTGTCTGTACCTCATCTTGATCATTTTATTTGTCAACCCGTTTCCCAACTTTTTGGTAATATAGTTATAGGTTTAAAAGTTTCTACCCATCTAAAAGCCACAACAGGAGTCATATTACACCTCCTTACGACTTCCTATACCCTTGTACCAGCCAAGACCTCCCCTTCCCGACCTCCTCGGTCCCTCAGGTGGCCGTTGTGGAGAGGTTCGACGGTAGTTAATGCTTTATTGACCAATCAGAACAAATGTTTTTCTTTACTTACACCGTTAATACCTTTTTTTTTACGGTTGCTGGTGTTATTAATCAGTGTGTTGTTCTTTTTCAGATTTATCGACATAGTAAAAAAAAGATAACCACCGGTTATGACACCTTCAAGCATGACCATGACTCCAAGAAAAGAAAAAGAGATTATGCAAGATTTTTTAATCAGAAAAAGGTGGGCTAGCATGATATGTTAGAGACATGAAGAAAACTGCGCGTTTTACACAGGATAGCAGGAT